GCTGCAGCTCGGAAAGTGCTCTCTCAGGTATAATATAGACCTCATCTCATGTGTGGCTTTTCTTTCAAAGATCACAACCTTGCACTGTCGATCCAATACCTGAAAGCAGCTAGTTTGTATGTATTGTCCAGTTTTATGGTTCATTCCCTGGGAGGGCAAGCCCAGTACTCCTTACTCCATCTTGCCTAGAACTAGAAGTGACTTCAACTTGCTTATTAATCTCTGAACTTCAGGTTCATCAACACCTGTGGCATGAGGCTTTGGGCTAGACCAGTACATCCGATGTGTAACTCTGCCCATATTCAGAGCTGTTTCTCAGTCCAAGCCACTTTCTCCACCTACAATATGGGTTTCCAGTATAAAAGTTGGATTTGATCTCTTGAATAAACTCTTCTGCAGTTCAGAAACTTTTTGAACTAGAAGAATCATCAGGCATTACACAGTCAATATTTTTATGGCTAAGGTGCACATTATTTAAAAATTTATAAAGCACTTTCACATACATATTTCACTAGCTTATAGATGTTTTGTGTTCTGTGAATACAAGCCAAGCTGATCCTATCCATCTTTTATAAGATTCTGAAAAGGTATGTGGCTGAAGAAAGGTTCCTTAGCAGATCAGAGGCACAGCCTGGATTTAAATCACTCTAAGCTCAGGGCCTTCCCACAAAATGACACCTCTGAGTTTATGTGAAAAGTGAGCCATGGAGGAAGTTATCACAGGTCTTCAAGGTCCTACCACATTTTTCACTTCTTTGGCCATTGCAGCAGCACTGGCGAACGTTCTCATGAGCAGCTTCTGTGAAGGTGTGTGGGGCGGGGCGGGGCGGGGGGGAAAGCAGTGTTTGATTATATCAGTCAGGATTGGCTTGGTTACACTGGGTAACAAACAATCCCTCAAATCTCAGTGGCCTAAACTAGCAAAGAGTCACTTAGTTTTCAGGCTGTTTGTCCGTGATGGATAGGCAGGGGCACCGAGGGTCCGAGGCAAGTGGAGTAGCCGTCATCTCAAATGTCACCGATGCCGTGTTAGAGTGACAAAATGAATTCTGGAGGACCTCAAGCTGTCAGTTAATGTTCTTGTGTGTGTGTCCCTTCTACCTATGACCCAGTGGCCAGAACGGGTCATATGGCCCCACAAGGGAGCCAGAAAAAAAAAAAAAAAGACCAATCCTGCCAAGTGCAAGAAAGGAAAAAACGCAAAAACTTTTGGCAAATGACTCTATGACTCTAATGACTACACCCAATTCCTCCTCCGCTGCAGTGGAGACCTCTGGGCATTTGGGCAGCAGTGTTGCCCTCTGCCCTCAGGAAAAGCATAGCCAAAGCAGAGGAGACATTCAGAAAGGAAAAGAAAAACAAAACAAAAGACATTGTGTGAAGGGTTTTCTTCACATGGTTTCTTTAAAAGATAGATAGCAAAGGGGCCATTCGCTTGAGAGGGCATCCGTGCTGGGGGTTCTGGAACCAGAGCACAGAGACAGATGTATTCGGCGTGTTGGACAGTTCGCCGTCGTCAAGGATGGGGCCTTCTCAGTAGAGCCAGCAGGGTGTTCACGGGCTTGGAGGGGACAAGCTTGGCTGCTGTACGGCCCAGGGAAGCGGGGGTGCGTAGGAAGCTGCCTCTTCTCCTGTCTTCTCAGTCTCACTCTGAGGACTCTGCAAAGCAGGGTGAAGGCCAGGTAAGGCTGGGCATCGCGAGGCAGGAGGTCACGCTTGCCAGGGGAGGGACCGGTGCCTGTGGCAGCTCCCAGGCGCCATCTGACAGGGAGGAAGGAAGGCCTGTCAGACCTGACTCTGCTCGACTCTGCTCCGTCTTCGCTTGCCATCACACCTCTCCTGCCCCTGCCGCCAACCACCCGTGACCGTCCCTTCCACTGCCTCTGGTTGTCCCAAGATGGCCTCCTAGGAGCCCCGGCCCTTGACCCCGCACTCATTAAGTAATATATGTCTCCTTGTCCTTCCACCTCTTTTCTTCACCATCTGCCCACAAAAGAGTTCATTCCCCATTTTCCGTGGCCTTAGCTATGCCTTAGGAAGAGAACAATCTGATGAACTTGAAACGGTCCCAGAAGCTAACATTTATCAAGCTCTTACCGTCAGCTCCCTGTTGTCCCAAGTAGATCACAACCCTAATCCTTTGAGAGAGGCATCCTGATCGATGAGGAAATCGGGCTTGGAGAGCGGCAGATGGTCCAGTCAGTAGGGGGCACAGAGAGGGTCACACCCAGGCTGTCCAGCTACAGGACTCAGGCACCTACCACTGGGCTGCCTTGGGGCTCTGCATATGTACGTGACTGAGCAGAGCGCACCCAGGGGATCTTGATTTGGGAAATCTCAGGCAACTCAGGGGCAGAGTTTGCTTGGGCCCCAGCCAGGGCACTCCCAGACCAGGGTCTTCTGGTTGACCCCGGAGGACCCACCTGCCATGCCAAGGCCCTGGCCTCTTTGCCCCTAGGTAAGCCTGGAGCCCTGTCCCAATTCTTGTCCTTGCAGCACTTGAGTCCCTCCCAGTCCTGGACTCCATCCTGGCTTTGATGACCTAGATGCCTGCCTGGGAGCTCAGCTGCCCCCAGCTCTGGCCTGAGAGGAGCACGGAGCTCTGTCCTGGGAACCCAAACCTGGGCAGCCATCTTCAGCTTACCTCTGGGAGGCCCCACTGACCAAGCACAGGGTGCTTCATAGGAAGTGTGTTGGGGTGGCGGTGGGGGCCCACCAAGCACATCTGCCAGAGGCCAGGCCCCAGGGTGGTGGTGAGACTCTCCTGAACAGCGGCCAATCGGAGTAAATGCTGGCCAAACACAACCAATGTGGCCCTGTTGCTGCACGCTTGTTAAGGATTCGCCTCATCAGGCTTCTCCCCGAGTCAGTGCCTACTTCTGGGTCCCAACAGTGCTACTACAAGGACATAATGTCCTGGCTCTCGGAGCCTTCCCTCCTGACCCTTCCCAGCTCCTACTCCGCAGCTCTCTCTGCAGAGGAATCAAGGCCTCGGCCTTAAGAAAATGGCCATTGAGGTCTTGTGGCCCCTGCAACTGTAGTCCCCAAACAACGCAGCGGTGTTTCCTAATCCTAGGCACACAGCAGATGCCTGAATCCTGGTGGTCCTTCCTTGTCCTCTCCTAAAGCTCAGATGACTCCCCTGGGGCCCTGGGGCTCTCCAGGGACACACGCAGGAGCCAGAGGATGGCTGGGAGCAGAATCAGGGCCCCAGGTTCTCCTCCCTCCCTCCCTCTGCTGGGCGGGGGCGGGGCCTTGCGGGAAAGGGGCGGGGCCTGGGGGCGGGAGGGGGCGGGGCCTGGCGGGAAAGGCTCTGGTGGAGCGGGGCCTGGTTGGAAAGGGGCGGGGCCTGGCGATAAAGGGGCGGGGCTTCGCTGGATGCCCTGAAGCTCCCCCGCCCGCCCCGCAGAGCTGCTCTAGCGTCCCCCATCCCAGCCCCCTGGTCTGGACCAGCTTGGCTTCACTCTAGTCGTTTTCCTCCCCCGAATCCGCTCCATCCTGTCTGCCCAGGCTGGGGTCCCAGGGGGCACAGGCCCTGGGGCATCACTAAGCCGTCCTCCCTGGAGAGATGGAGTTCTGGATGGTAGCTACCCTCTCCCTCCAGCCTGCTTCGGTCAGTAGAGCCTCCTTAATGTTTAAAGAAGCAAGAACAAGGCGCTGGCAGCCCCTTGTTTCCGCTGTGCTGGGAGGGCAGGGGTGACCCGGAGCCCGTGCACCTTGCAGTGGGGGCAGGGGGGTGCGTGCCTTTCACCCAGGCCCGCCCACGCTCGCTTCTGGCCTTGCTGTGGAGAGCTCTGGCTTCATTCCCCTGCCAGCCTTGTACTAACTAAATGGACAAGGCTAAGTGAAGTTGCCTAACTTCTCGGAACCGCAGTTTTCTTATCAATATTTACCCTCCCGTGTTGCTGTGAGCACTAAGTAAAAAGATGCAGGTGCAGTGCCCAGCACGGTCTCTGGGCCGCACCGGGATTTAACAAATGCTAATTCCTCCTTCCAGGGAAAGAAAAGAATTACTAGATCTAATTTCCTCTACCTCACAGTTTTTCAGCGGAGCCCAAGTCTCCTTGGGGCCCTAGGCTGTCCTGATGCCATCTCCACCTGTGGTCAAGAAGAGATCCAGAAGCACAGGCTTAGAGAACGCTGGAGCTGGGAGTCTTGTCCAAATGGACTTCCTTATTTCATTGCCCTGGAAGGTGGGGGACTGGCTCCCGCAGCAGGTGGTAGGGAGGAAATAGCAGGACTCGGTTCACACTTCAAGATTAGCATCACAGTCTGGACTGGAAACTTCCCCTTCTCTGCCCACATTATACAACCTTAGCTCCTGGGAATTTAGAGAAGTAGCCCAAGCCCCAGAGAACCACGAAGAGAGTTTGTTGGTCCCTGCACTCACCGCCTCGTCTTAGAAGCTTGAGGGGCCAAACAACTGTAGTTTGGCCCATTTGGGTTTGTTAGGATTGATACTTTCATGCCCTGCATGTTTCTCTTGGGCAATATCCAAATGTCTAGCATATCCAGGGGACATGAGTCAAACTCAGAGTCTCTGTATCTCTATCCATCTCTGTCCGTCTTTTGTGTCCCTCCATGAGGGAACTTAATCTGTACTGTAATGTGGTGTGGAACTACCAAAGTGCCTACTCATCCACACAAACCTAGGGAATCAATGGGCCAAGCATGTGAAGTCAGTTCACAGAACAGGAAATAGTTTTGAAAGATAATTAAAAAAAAAAAAAAGATGGACATAAACCTCATTCATGATTAGAGGAAGATATATGTTTGATATTCTTATTAAAAACTCTTACAGGAGCACCTGGGGGCTCAGTGCTTGAGCATTTGCCTTTGGTTCAGGCTGTGACCCTGGGGTCCCAGGATCAAGTCCTACATTGGGCTCCCCGCAGGGAGCCTGCTTCTCCCTCTGTCTTTGTCTCTGCCTCTCTCTGTGTGTCCCTCATGAATAAATAACACTTTCAAAAAATATAAATAAAATAGATACTCCCATAAAAGCCAAGAATAAAACATTTTAAAGGTGTTTATGTAGATTTTATTTCCGTTCCAATACCATGTCACTAAGAACTACACATGTGGTCACATCTCAGAGTTCTTCTTCCTTTAAATTATGTGCAGATCACAGGATTAGACTTTCCTAGTTGAAATGTTAAATAATATGAAAACAGAGTAAAAATTGGAAGTATACCCCCATTTCCCTCCAAACCTTTCCCAGAGATAACCTCTGTTAGCAGTGAAGGCTTAGTCTTTAGACCTTTTCCCATAGGCTCACATACATGAATTTACGTGTACACATACAAGGCTTGTTCACATAAATGTGTGCATCATGCTGTGCACATTGTACTATAAGCTTTATTTTTCAATTAATTGGTTTTCATGATCTTTTTCAGGAACTGCTTATAGACCCTTCACAATTTAAAAAAATGTTCTGCATAGGATTGCATAATATAAGTGAATTAAATTCTTCTCCTATTGAGGAAAAAGTAAATTCAAACTGAGTTAAATTGCTAAGGCACCTGCTCGGTGTCCCTGAGAAGCAGAGAATTCTTTGGTGTAGAAAAGCCCACACAACTCGTGTCAGAAGGGTTGTTTAGTAGTAGGAGACAGAAATAGTGATTCTCTTCAGTATGTATTAAACTTCATTTGTTTGCTTAGATGTAACCCATAACCAGGTGAGGGAAATAATGCTCTCACAATTTTTATAATGACAATAAAATGTAGAAATGAGAAAAACAAAACTATGTCTATATGTATCTATATATAGACCGAGATATATAAAAAAAAGGATTTGGATAAATGGAGACTCCTCACATTTTTTTAAAACAAGACTAACACTGTAAATAGATTAATTTATCCCAAATTTATATGTTTAATGTCACACTAATCCCTCCAAAAAATATCAAAGTTAAAAAATTATTTTGAGGGGATCCTTGGGTGGCTCAGCAGTTCAGCACCTGCCTTCAGCTCAGGGCATGATCCTGGAGTCCCGGGATCGAGTTCTGCATCAGGCTCCCTGCATGGAGCCTGCTTCTCCCTCTGCCTGTGTCTCTGCCTCTCTCTCTCTCTGCATCTCTCATGAATAAATAAATAAAATCTTTAAAAAAAATTATTTTGAGTATTGTAAAATTATTTTGAAGTTCACCTGGAAGAATGAAGATGAGAAAATCATCATGAACACTGGGGAAAAACAGATTACTTACAAATAACGTTGAGAAATTGGTTGTAAATAAATAAAATTATATTTCTCCTGAATGTCACAACACAAAAACAAACTTCAGATGGATTGAATAGTTAAGTCAGTTAAAAACATAATAGGTTAGAAGAAAATATAGGTGACCTACTGGCTTCAATGGGAAAGTCTTTCTAAGAATTGAAAGCTGTGTCAAAAATCGCTAAGGAAAAACCTAGATTTGACTGGGGGCGGAATAAACCTGTTCATTAATAAAATATGGTAACAAAATTTATGAAAAGTTTCTCACCAATGGAAGAAATACAATAGGTGTATATCCTTGTTTAACATATCCTGCAGAGATTTTTACAGAAGTAAAACTTCTGTAACTTAAAAGTTGTTGAAGTATATTTATATATACTTATATATATACTACTATACTATATACATAATTTTTTTAACTCAACATCAGCTATCCAAGACTAAAGACCTACTTCGTACTTTAGTTTCTAACTCCTATATAATATCACAGAGTATGTCTCACATCTTCATTATCTATTCCCATTGAGATGGACACTTAGGTAGCTTCCGACTCGTTGCCAACATAAATGAAGTTGCAGTGAACACTCCTGTGGACTTGTGCGATGACATCACTGGGCCACACACCCAGAAAGGAGCCTGCTGCAGCCCAGAGCAGACGCCAATTGAGTTCACTGACAGATTACTTTCTATCTTGGCCATATTGGTTCCTGGTCCCACAAGTGCTCCCAAATTTCCCTACTTCCTGGCTGATGCTGCATAGTATCCAACTTTCTAACTGACACCAATCTGATGGATGTAGGGCAGTATCTCACGGTATTTTATTTGTATTTTTATGATTAATAATTGACTGTCTTATTCTCTTTAGTTTGCAGGGGTTCTTTGTATACCCTAGTGTTAATTCTTTACTGTTTTTTTTTTTTTTTTTTATAGTTTCTTTCAGTCTCGTTATGGTGTCCTTCATGGAATGGATTTGAGATACTTGTGTCTGTGTGTGTGTGTGTGTGTGTGTGTGTATGCCAACTGCATGATATTTCACCTTATCATTTTTTTTAGATATTTTCATTTTTTTAGATATTGTCTTTCTTTTTTGTTTATTATCAACATCCCTTTTCAGTTCAAAAGCAGTTACAGGTGCTGAGACAACTGATATCCCATATGCAAAAAAAATTAAGTTGGACCCAAACCTCATATCATATACATCAAAATAGATTAACATTCTAAATAGAAGATCTAAAATCATAAAAGTCTTAGGAAAAATAGTTGTAAATGTCCATGACTTTGGATTTGGCAAAGGGTTATTACATATGATACCGTAAGTATGAGTAACAAAAGAAAAAATAGATAAACTGGACTTCACTGAAATTAAAAACCTTTGTGGATCAGAGGGTACTATCAAGAAAGGGAAAATATAACCTAAACAAAGGGAGAGAATATTGCAAACCATATATCTGAGAAGGGTCTAGTATCCAGTATATATAAAGAACTCTTATAACTTGACAACAAAAAGACAACCCTATGAAAAAATGGACAAAGGACTTGAATAGACTTCTCTCCAAAGAAGATATCCAAACAGCCAGTAAGCACATAAAAAGATGCTCAACACTATTAGTCATCAAGAAAATGCAAGTAAAATGCACAATGAGATTTCACTTCCACCCACCAGAGTGGCCATAATTTTTAAAACTGTTCCCACAAGTTTCTCAAGGGTGGGAAATAACAAGTGTTGATAAGGATGTGAAGAAACTGGAACCCTGATATAACAGCGATCCAAACAAATACACCAATATGCACATGTGTAGGAGGATGACTCACAAATAACCAAAAGATGGAAACAAATCAAATGTCCATCAATGAATGAGTAGACAAACAAATCGTGCTGCAGCTCTATGGTAGACTATTATTCAGTCATAAAAAGAGATGAAGTACATACAACAACGTGAATGAACCTCGCACACGCCATGCTAAGTAAAAGCCAGAAACAAAAGCAATCCATTTATATGAGATATCCAGAATAAGTAAGTCCATAGAGGAAGAAAGCAGATTGGCAGTTGTCTGGGGTCGAAGGAGGAAGAGGACGAGGAGTGACTGCACAGGTTTTCCTCTGGGGTGAGGAACATTTTTTGGAACTAGATAGAGGTGGTGGTTGCACAACATTTTCAATGTCCTAAAGGCCACCGCACTGTTTGCTTAAAAATGGTTAATTTTATGCTATGTGAATTTCACCTCAATAACAAATCCTTTAAGAAGGCCCCAATAATATCACTGATATTTAATCACTTTTTTAAAAACTACAGAGCTCAGCTATGATCAAATTACGTATCGCTGCATTGCAAGTAGCACATAGACTGCAAAATACACTTCCCAAGCCCTGAGGAATTTAAGGTCTAGTTGGAGAACACGGTGATTAATAAATAAAGCAAACGCCATAAGAGAAATGCCCTCCCTCCATGGGTTCAAAGATGCACATCTGCTTATGCAGAAAAGGAAACTATTCTTGGAGAAGATGACATCGGAAATGAGCTTTAAGAGTTGAACGAAATTTTTGTGAGAGTTGGAGGTGGAGAGATACAAGAACGCGAAGAAAGGTATGATCCCTACAAGGGGATCAGGTGATAAGTTTAAGGACATTACCTTGTCCCACCTGGCTGTCCTAAAAGCTACCTGATTCTGGCAAGATTATTTAAGACCAGGTGTCCAAAGGCCGTGACTCCGCCCTTTCGTCTCCAATGCCCCAGGCCCTGTTTGCCACCTAGCTGGTGATGCATAGATAGTAAACAAAGATAACATAAAAATGTACATTAAGGAAACTTTCTACGAAGCCCATGCACCAGCCCACGGAGAACAGTAGCCCGAGCTAGCAGCGCTTGTCACCACGGAAACAGGCTAAGGCAAGTATGCAGCAGGATTTGAGGACCGAGGCAGGACTCAGTGTCACAGGTAACTCACCTACGGAAGGAGGGGGACCCAGTCTGGGGAAGCTCTGCGTCCCATCCGCCGGGATGAGGATTGGGCTCTGAACACCCCAGGGAATCACTAAGGTCTCTCGTCCCCTGCCCTACACTGGGTAGGGCCTACGAGGGGCCAGGATGGGGCCAGTCGAGTGTGGACAGGCGCGGGGCAGGACAGGGGTCACGGGGAGAGAGAGGGGCTCGCCCTCACGGGGAGGAAAACCTGCCGCAGAACAGAATAGTGTCGGCTGCGTTGTGCCTAATGAGGAACAGGAAGGGGTGGTCGGCGCAGAACCTGGGCCCGGACTCCTGGCAGCACTCGGCCACCACCAGGGCCGCGCTGGCCGCCGCCGCCGCCGTGCCCTCCTCGTCCACCTCGAGCACACTCCTGTGCACAAACCTGGACAGACACACATCTCCGCGGGCCGACATCGCCGAGAAGTCGGCCTTGTCCCCCTGAAAGGCATCGGCCATCCCCAAAGGCCCAAGCACCGCGGCCAGGTCGTACTCCTCCCCCAGCTGCAGCCTGGGCAGGAAGACCTCCACGTAGGTGCTCCGCATGCGCGCCGGCCCGGTCCACGCTCGGAATCGCTCCCAAGTCAGACGGCTCTCCACCTGGAAGGACCCGAATTACACTTTAAATCTCACAGCTCAGTACAGGTTGACACGCACGTCCCCTCTCCCCCCACCTGTGGGTGCGGGCCTAGCAGGGAGCACCCCGGCGGCCCTTCCCCGTCTTAGCCAGCGGCCGCTAGGTCACCGCTTTATCCCGACAACCGTCAAGGCTTACCTGACTCTGCTTTCCCTTTGCTTTCTTTTTTTCTTTTCTCTCTTTCTCTTTCTCCTTTCTTTCTCTCTCTCTCCTTTCTTTCTTTCCTTTCTTTCTTTCTTTCTTTCTTTCTTTCTTTCTTTCTTTCTTTCTCTCTCTCTTTCTTTCTTTCCTTTTGCCCCCTGCTCAACGGGGAGTCTGCTTCTCCCTCTCCTGCCCCTCAAGCACACACTGCTCTCTCTCTCTAATAAATCTTTAAAAAATAGATAAATAAAATATAATGCTAACAATGATCATGATAGTAATAATGGATCGCATTTATTCAGGGCTTATTATGTCCCAATGTGCTAAGTTTGTTACCTGAACCACCCCCATTTCATCCTCATAACTCTCAAGCAGAGGTTGTCCACTTGAGAGGTTGTCTTTAATAAAATTAAATATTTAATGTATTTATTCATGAAAGAGACAGAGAGAGAGAGAGGCAGAGACCCAGGCAGAGGGAGAAGCAGGCTCCCAGCAAGGAGCCTGATGCGGGACTCGACCCCAGGACCCCGGGGTCACACCCTGAGCCCAAGGCAGATGCTCAACCGTTGAGCCCCCCAGGAGTCCCACCATCCCCATTTTCCAGGCGGGAAAACGGAGTTAAGGAATTTAGCAAGATCACGTAGATAACAATGGGAGGAGTGGGTCCTGGTGGGCCGCTGGGTTCCAGAGGCCAGCGCCTGAACGCTGTGCCCGCTGCCTGGCTGTGCACACCATGGACGTGGAAGGTAACACACGCTGACCACGGCGCTTGAGGCCTAGCAGGAAGGATGCAGAGGGCATCCCTGGACCCTCACCGAGCTGAGCTCCACGTGGTCATCCGGGAGCAGAATGAGCATGCTCAGCTCGTCGCCCACATAGGGCAGCTCCAGGACCTGCGTCTGCAGCTCTTCGATGTATGCGAGCTTAAACGTGGCTTCCTGGTACATCATCTGCACTGGCCTTTGCTCCTTCTGATGGGAATTAAACAGGTAAGCACAGAATTAAAAACAGACTCTTGAAAGCGGCAATAAAAATTTCCAAAACAGCTATAATTGACTCCAGGAGTGTTTTCAGCCCCCCTGATGGAAGCAATATTCGTGTGCTAGCTCTGACTCTTTCCTGTCACCACCACAAGGCCCGTAGTGCAAGCAAATACGGTGCCAGCCTAGGAAAGGACACGTTTTATTCAGCGAAATAAATGTGACACTCTGCATTTTTTGCAGGAGGCAAATCCAATTTCCTCATGTAAAATCTGCAATACATCTAAGGAAACAATATAATCAAATGAACTGAAACAGAAAACTATTTGTATTCAAGTGGAAAACGTGTTAATGATAAAGAAAAAGAAACTGAAGAGTCTCGCAGCAGTGCGACCCATAGTGTATGCAGACGGCCCCTCAGAAAGCAGAGGGAATTACATGTCTCTTCATGTATTTAAATCCACTTGTTCCAATTCTGATACTCGAATCCAGTGAAATATGTATTTTTTTAAAGTACAGAAGAGGTAATATGCACGCAGAAGTTCATTGGACTACTCTACTCATTAAATTTTAGAAAATTGATATGGATCAGCTATTATAAAAATTAGATGCTAGAAAGGTCCTCCCGCCGACACCTTTATAACTAGAGGGCTGATTATGTGAAGTACACCTTATGTCCCCCCCCAAAAGGATTTACCTGTACAGTATAAGTTTCCTAATTTCATGAAATGGTATTTTTTTTTTTCCACAGGCTGGGAGATTCCACAAGCTATTTTAATGCCTAATATCTTTGTCAGTTTTAATATTACAAACGTATAAATACTAGATCAATAATGATTAACAATAATCCAAGTCTATAGTTATTTTAATTTTTAAAATATCTGATTAAAACGATATTGACTCCTTCTATATGCTCCCCCAACACATACAACATATCACACTTCCTGAACACTTGTTTTTTGCTTTCTGTTAAGCTTACTGGACTTAGAAAAAAAGTCTTAAGTTTCCTGAATTAGGTGGCAGCAATGAATGTAGGAGAAATTATCAGAGGCCATAGAAGCAGTAACAAAATGCAAAAAAAAAAAAAAAAATCATAGCAAATAATTTTTATTTCTCAGTTCTCTTCTACTTTAAAATTCCATTCACAAAGGTGTTAAGTTTCAGAATTATTTTTAGCCAATCATTTATGCTTTTACAAAGTTAACTATTTCCATTCACTTTCTTCATGAAACTAGGAGGATTTCTGAAAGCTTCTCTCACCTGGTTTATTCTAAAAGGCATTTCCCTTGTGTACCTTTTGTCGAACTGTTCATTCCACCTTCCTTTGAAGTAGATGGCATTGACAAGAACCAGCTTGGTCTTTGCATCAATTGAGCCACCTGGCAACAGCTCTTGAATTTTACCTTCCAGAAAAAGTAGAGAATATATTCAGTTTTTTTTTTTTTTTTTTAGATTCTTGGTTATTAATCAAGAACCAAACATTCATTTCTTTTTGAAATGAGCTGAGTTCGGACTGTTATGTGCAGAAATAAAAAAACAACACATACAAGTGGTATTTCACAGCCAGGTCACCAATGCTGTGGGGACAGTCACAAAGTTGATAACAGCACAAGATTTATAAATCACTCAAAGAAAAACACTATACTAGGTCAGACATGAAGGCAAGCAGGATATGACAGATGGGCTGGGAGGGACTTCTGTTTGTTATCTCAAGTGGTAAAATGGAGTGTGTAGTTAATGCACGGACGTCACAACCAGCGTTAACAGCTGTGTCCGCATCGGAGGCAGCCAGGATGAATGGCTCAAAGGGGAAATAGCTGAGGCTGGGCAGCCTGGGTGCTCTGAGGAGCTTCTGGAAGGATCTGGAAGAGATTTCACTATTTGATTCTCTAAACAAAACACCAGGACACCTGGGTTGCTCAGTGGTTGGGCGTCTACCTTCAGCCCAGGTCGTGAATTTGGAGTCCCGGGATCGAGTCCACATCGACCTCCCTGCATGGAGCCTGCTTCTCCCTCTGCCTGTGTCTCTGCCTCTCTGTCTCTCTCTCTGTGTCTCTCATGAATTAATAAATAAAATCTTTAACAGTGCTCCTCGAGGTGCTAAGCAGTTAGCGCGGAGGGTCCTGTGTGGCTCCAACATCAGCGGGCACACGGCCCACGATCAGAACCCTCCACTCTGTAAAAGAGAAACGAATCAGGCTCAAGGCCAAACAGTGTGATTTCAGTCCATCGAGCTGCCCGGACCTGAGGCAGCGTCTGCGGTCTCTCCAATCTGGGCTCAGCAAAGCTCACGGGGGAGTCTGAGCAGCCCTGAAAGCAGAACAAGGCAGTTTCGTGGGCAGCCTGGGGGGCGGGGGGTAAGGAGGGCCGCAGAGAATTTCCAGAGAGGAAGCCCAAGCGCCTGTCTCAGAGCAGAACCAGAGCGAGCCGCCTCCCAGGGGCCCTGCGAAGGGCACGGGCCACGTGAAGCTACGCTTCAGTCAGTGCAAGCTATTAAGCTGGAAATCTGGCCTATTGGTTTCTTTCTTTCTTTTTTTTTTTTTTTAGAAGATTTTATTTATTTATTCCTGAGAGACACAGAGAGAGGCAGAGACACAGGCAGAGGGAGAAGCAGGCTCCATGCAGGGAGCTCCATGTGGGACTCGATCCCGCGACTCCAGGGTCACAGCCTGAGCCCAAGGCAGATGCTCCACCACTGAGCCCCCCAGGTGCCCCTGGCCTATCAGTTTCTTTGGACATTTGTATCAGTCCTGGTCCCAGGGGAGCGGACAAACTCTTAGGTGTCTGCTGTTGCACACCTGAGCATCTGCCCAGAACCCCTGTGAGGCCATTAAGGTGCAAATAAGGCAAGAGGCCCAACCTGTCAGTGCCCAGACCAAGTGAAACACTAGTGAAATCTGAAGTCGGAGCAGCAGGAAAACCAAGGGGAGGAGAACCAGGGGAAGGAGCGGAAGGCCGAGGGTGCGAGGAGGGTCGGGGGGGAAGGGGTAGGTAACTGCAGGCAATTCTGACCTTCAGTCTTCTCTGAGACCCAAGCGTTGATGTGCTTCCTGGACGGCTCTGCCGCTTTGGCAAAGGGAAGCTGTTCCAGCTCAGCATTATAGAACCGAAGACAGGATTCCTTAAAGGTCTTTGGAGAGAAAAGTGCAGTGTGGCTATATTCCGAGATAAAGTCTAGTTTCCCCCCCAAATCGGGATATTACATACATTTTATTAAAATGAGTCTACATCTATTGAAACTGATCGAATCTTAGTCCACTAGGCACTGTAACAGCAGAGTTTATAAAGAGGGAAGTACTAAGCCATGAATAACCAGAAATGGATAAATGAATTTTAGAACTAGTCAAATTCTTAAAAATTCAAGGCACGGTTATAGAATTAGGATTTTAAAAAACATGTTTACCATGATTTTCAGTTCTTTGGGATCTTCCTTTCAGACTCTATACTTTGATTATGACTTTTATTGTCCTGTTGACTCAACTTACCGGGAGGAATTCACAAGTCTTTTCTCCAAAGAGCCTGTTGGCTGTTCGGAGCAAGTACTGGGTGCCAGGTTTGTTGACTTCCGTGAGAAGCGACTGGAAACTCTGATGAATGTCTTTCTCTGTGCTTAATGAAAGCACCTGTTGAGAAAACATAATTTTGAAATTTATGAAGATTGTTCTTTGGGAGGCACCTGGGTGGCTCAGTCAGTTGAGCATCTGACGCTTCATTTCAGCTCAGGTCGTGATCTTGGGGTCATGAGAGCAAGCCCTGCGTTGGGCTCTGTGCTCAGTGCAGAGTCTGCTTGAGATTCTTTCTCCCTCTCCCTCTGTCCTTCCCCCATCTCTGCCAGTTGCTCAAGCACTCTCTCTCTCTCTCTCAAGAAAAAAAAAAAAAGAATGTCTCAAAAAATCTGTAAGCAAAATTCTTTCGCAAATACTCCACAAAATTTTCCTTTAAAAGGCATTGTTTTCTCTTTTTTCAAAAGGGACATTACTTTCAATTTAATTGCAGATTTAATACCTACTAGGGCAACAGGATGTGGGGGTGGGGAGAAGATATAGAAAGAAAAGGATGGGGGGGGGGAGGCAGAGAACAGAAAACAAGGGAGTAAGACACAATGGATGAAAGACCTAAATGGAGACAGGAACCCATCAGAATCCTAGAGGAGAACACAGGCAGCAACCTCTGTGACCTTGGCCGCAGCAACTTCTTGCTAGATATGGCCCCGAAGGCAAGGGAAACAAAAGCAAAAATGAACTACTGGGACTTCATCAGGATAAAAAGTTCTGCACAGCAAAGGAAATAGTCAACAAAACTACAAAGCAACCTAGAGAATGGGAGGAGATATCTGCACATGATGTATCAGATAAAGGGCTAGTGTCCAAAACCTACAAAGAACTCATCAAACTCAACACTCAAAAAACAAACAAAAATCCAGTCAAGAACTGGGCAGAAGACATGAAACAGGCATTTCTCCAAAGAAGACCTACACATGATCCAGACACATGAAAAAATGCTCAGCATCACTTGGCATCAGAGAAATACAGCAAGTGCTCGCTTCGGCAGCACATTTACTAAAAAGAGAAATACAGCAAAACCACAGTGAGATACACAGTGAGGATGGTTAAAATTAACAAGACGGGAAATGACAGATGTTGGCGAGAATGTGCAGAAGGGAAACCCTCTTGCACCGTTGGTGGGAACGCAGGCTGGTGCAGCCTCTCTGGAAAACAGTGCGGAGGTTCCTCAAGACGTTGAAAATAGAGTTACCTTATGACCCAGCAATTGCACCACTAGGTATCTATCCGAAGGATACAAACAGCCATTTGAAGGGGCACCTGTGCCCCAATGTTCACAGCAGCAATGTCCATAACAGTGAAAATATGGAAGGAGCCCAGGTGTCCTTCGACAGATGAATGGATAAAGAAGAGGTGGTCTATATAGACAATGGACTCAGCCATCAGAAGGGATAGGCCCTTCCCATTTGCAGTGGTGTGGACGGAACTAGAGGGTATTAGGCTAAGTGAAATAAGGCAGTCAGAGAAAGAAAAATACCATATGATTTCACTCATATGTGGAATTTAAGAAACAAAAGAGATTAATATAGGGGAAGGAAAGGGAAAATAAAATAAGGTTAAAACAGAGAGGGAGACAAACCACAAGGGACTCTGATCTACAAGGAACACACTGAGGGTCGCTGGAGGAGGGCAGATCAGGGGAGGGGTAACTGGGTGATGGGTATTATAGGAGGCCACGTGATGTAATGAGCACTGGGTGTTGTATGCATGTGACACTAAATTTTACCCCGAAACTAATAATCTACTTTATGTTAACTAAACTGAATTTAAACATTTTTTAATTTAAAAAGAGCAGGGGAGTAAGGCAGGTAATAGAAAGGGGCACCTGGGTGGTGCAGTCCACTAAGTATCCAACTATCGGTTTTGGCTCAGGTCATGATCTCAGGGTTGTGGGATCAAGCCCCATGTCAGGCTCCATGCTTCAGGGAGTCTGCTTGGGACTCTCCCTCTCCCTCTGCCCCTCTCTTTCTCAAATGAATAAGTAAATCTTAAAAAAAAAAAAAAAAGGTAAGTAGTGACAAGGATAAGAGGGGCTCAGAAAAGGGGCTTTTATAAAATTTTGCATCCCAAGGAAAACATAAGTATGAACTATATCCTATATAGAGGGAAACTCGCATCTAAGATTCACAAGGAAAAAAACCCAACAGCATAAGGAAAAAAACCCAACAGCACATACAATTAAAAGCATGAGGGATCCCTGGGTGGTGCAGCGGTTTAGCGCCTGCCTTTGGCCCAGAGCGCGATCCTGGAGACCCGGGATCGAGTCCCACGTCGGGCTCCCGGTGCATGGAGCCTACTTCTCCCTCTGCCTGTGTCTCTGCCTCTCTCTCTCTCTGTGTGTGTGACTATCATAAATAAAAAAAAAATTAAAAAAAAAGCATGAAAGGTTGATGGGGAGATGGGCAGAAATACAGTCAGTGGGGGAAACCTCACTTTCTGTCCCCGCCAGTGCGCACAGAATCTGAAAGCTAGTTCTGTGAGAGAAGGTCCCTTAGTGCTCTAAGCAGCAATGTGCACTTAGCATAGCCAGTGCCATTGTCGTCCAGCCGAGCCCAGGAGGATCAGGAATTTCAATGTCTCTGAACACAAAGTAACCGATCTTGAGGCTCTCAAAAAAAAGCTCCCAGAAGGGTTCATCAGCTAGCTTAAAGCATAGAAAGTTCGGTAGGCTAAAGAAGCCCCCCGCTACACCTAAACCTTCATTCCCTCCTACCGCAAGCTGAAAAAAATGAAAAAAAAAATCACCGCAGAAAAAGTTCTCAAGGGAAAAGAAAGTCCTATCAAAACCAAGAGCCACACTGATTCACACGTTGTCGACAGTGAAGGTGTCTACAGGGGCAGGAGAAAATAAGCTTTCAGGTTTTATCTCGGGCACATGTCCCTCTGCTCGCTCCATCCCTTCAGGACAGGGATCGACTCTTTATCATTTTCAGATGTTTGCCGAACGTCTGTTAAGCAGACTAGGCCACATTATATAGTGTGTATGTGTAACAAAGACATGTGGTTTTTTATCCACTTGTGCATATTTTTGTCCGTCCCCTTACTGGGCTAGGAAGGCATGTTGGCATATTAATGGCTTGAACTAGATCTTAACCTACCTGTGTGCCAAAGAATAGTTATAGCCATGCAGTCTTTTACTCCAAAAATGAGAGCTCTTAGCCACTTAGATTTCAAAGAATTTCAGTACTGATTTCTAAACAGAGATAAAGCGCTAGGACAAGATTTTGAGGGGATCCCTGGTGTCAGCGGTTTAGCGCCTACCTTCGGCCCAGGGTATGATCCTGGAGTCCCGGGATCGAGTCCCACATCGGGCTCCCTGCATGGAGCCTGCTTCTCCCTCTGCCTGGGTCTCTGCCTCCCTCTCTCTCTCTCTCATGAATAAATAAATAAAATCTTTAAAAAAAAAAAAGGACAAGATTTTGATGGTCTCATCCAGGTTATTAATTAGGGAACTTCCTCCCAAAAAAGCATCTCAGTGGAGGAGACTCCCAGCCCTGCCCTTTCTGTCTTGGTCTCTAGCAGCCCCACCGGCACAAGGAGGCACAGATGTGTGCACACACCTGGCGCCCCCCCCCCATCCTGCCTTATGGGAGCTCTGGAGTCAGAGGTATGAAGCTGGCAATAGAACATAACACCCCCAAAGGCCTTCCCTTCCCCTGGGCAACAGGCAGGTTTACCTGGGCCACCTGGGCAGCGGTGTTTCCTTTTGCCCCCAGGTAGACCATGGCCAGGGCAGAGGAGATGATCACAGGAGAGTAAAACACGTTGCGTGAAGGGTCGTCTTGACACAGCATCTTTAAAAGGTGGATGGCGAAGGTGCCATTTGCTTCAGAAAGAGCCTCCATGATGCAGGGTCTGGAACCAGAGCAGAGAGAGAAAGGCTGCTTCAACCCACCCCCGAACGCTACTGCCTTGCTACATGGCAATGCAGGAATTGTACATTTTTAAAATTTTTATTTTTAGATTTCATTGATTTATTCATGAGAGACACAGAGAGAGAGAGAGAGGCAGACAGAGAAGCAGGCTCCACGCAGGGAGCCCGACACACGGGCCTCGACCCCGGGCCTCCAGGATCACGCCCCGGGGCTGAAGGCAGGTGCTAAACCACTGAGCCACCCGGGGATCCCTGCACTTTTTTTTTTTAGATAATAAAGCTCATAAGTATTTTCAGTTGGAGGGAAATCCATTTCCTGTGGCTCTCCATCCAGAAAAACAAGTCCCAATTTTAATGTAATTAGCCAAGTATGGTGCTGGCAGCAGATCAAACCAGCCCGGGAGCCTCGGGAAAGTGAAGAGCACTCAGCATCTGGAGATCAGGGGAGTCCAATCCTCTGTCACAAGGACCAGCTCTTCCCGTCTGTGGAGGGGCACAGGGTCAGGGCAAAGGAAACTTCTGAGAGTTTCACCTCTGCAGCAGACTACAGTCTCCCTATCCATCTGCTAATTCTTGAGAAATGTTTGAGATGCTGGTAAAAGAGAGGCTACAGCTGGGTATGAAATTGGCTGCGAGGCAAGGACCTTGCACCTACAGTGACTGGGTCACTGGCTGAGGGACAGCCAGTGCGCTCTCTCGCTGAGCAGCCCTCAGCACCCTGAGGCCAACTCAAAGCACCCACCGCCGCCCCTAGGGCCTAGGGGCCAAGTGACCCTCGGACATTGGAAATGAGGGTGAGGCAACTGTTTTTGGTTTACGATCTTTGTGCTGAGTCAGAAACACTGATTTGAGAGTTTTACCCATTAGTCCCAGCAGAAGCCACTGGAGTGGACTGTGCCTGAGAGGGCAAGGACCGGGCCCTTGGGACACCTGAGTGGAGAGGCCAGGGGGAGCAGAGAAGAGCCCAGAAGGAGGTGAACCGCCCAGAATGGGGAGGCCAGTAGCATAAAGGTGAGTGGGCAGGTGTGCCGGCCACAGGTGAAGCCGGCCGCCTCATCCTACCACCCGCAGCCCACATGTGGCCAGGGAATTAGCTAAGCTTGGAAAGGAGACCCTGGCCTCCTACCCTGGGGGCCTCCCTGACTCCCGGCCGCAGCTCCTCCTCCCCTCGAACCCATCAGCACCCATCACCGAGGGTTCCCTTCTGCTGCCTCCTAGCCCTTGAACCAGCCTGCTCCTCTTGGGCCTGCATCCTCTGCTCCCTCTAGGAGCTTCCAGCTGTCCACAGCCCCCCCCCCCCCCAGCGCTCTGCCCTCTGGTGGGGGAGCCGACCTTTCAGCCTTCCTCTTAAACCTGCCTGGCCCTGGGCATAAGCTCCTCCACCTGTCGGCCTCCCTTGCTGCAGCCTTTGCGTCCCTCCAAGCCACCCCCGTGCCCCTGGAAACGGTTTCTCCAACTCCAGGACCTCTCCGCCCCCCTCCGCCCCGGCCGGTCTCCCTGCGCCCGCGCCCCAGCGCCCCCAGCAGCCTCCCTGCAATCCCCGCCTTGCCCGGAGGTGCTCCGGCGGCCCGGGAGGCCTGCGAGGGCGCGGGGGGGTGGTGGTGGGGGGGCCTGCGAGGGCGCCGCGGGCACGGGAGGGGCTGAGGCCTCGGCGGGGCGCGGAGGGGGCGCGGCGGGCACGACCGCGGGGCCGAGAGCTGCAGCCGCGCTCCGGGGACCTTAGCGGGAAGGGGACGGGCGGGGACGGCGGCCCGCCGGGGACCCCAGGGGAGGGGGGCGGGGGGCCTCGCCGGGGACCCGGACCGGGGCGCCCTGAGGCCCTGCGGAGCACGGAGCCGTGTTTCGGGCCACGGGGAGAAGCGATCCCGCCCGCCCCAGGCTCCAGGCCCGAGCGCCCGCCACCCCCGCCCCGCCCGGTCCGAAGCCCTCACCTGCCACCTCCGCCCCGCGCCGCTCTGCCCGCCGCCCCGCTCTGCCGCCCCGGGCGGGAGACCACCTCTAAGCCTCCCGCCCCCGGGGGCGGCGCCTCGGGGCAGGCGAGGGTCCCCCGCGCGGGTCAGGGCCGCTCCCTCTCCGCGCTCCCCGCTCCCCCTCCCGCTCCCCCTTTCCGCTCTCCGCTCCTCCTTCCCCCATCGGCGCTCCCCCTCCGCTCCCCCTCCCCCTCCTCCCTCCCACCTCCCGCTCTCTTCCCTCTCGCTCCGCCCTCCCCCTCCCCCTCCCTCTCCCCTCCCCCTCCTCCTCTCCCCCTCCCCCACTCTCTGCCCCCTCCACTCCTCCTCCCCCCTCCTCCCCCCTCCCCTCCCTCCCTCCCCCTTCCCCTCCCTCGCTCCCCCTCCCCCCTCCCCCCCCTCCCTCCCTCCCCCTCCCCTCCCATCCCCTCCCCCCCCTCCCCGCTCCCCTCCCCCCTCCGCCTCCCCGCTCCCCTCCCCATCCCTCTCCCCCTCCCGCTCCCCCTCCCGCTCCCCTCCCCTCCCCCCCCCCGCCCTCCTCCCCTCCCTCTCCCCCTCCCCTCCCCTCTCCCCCTCCGCTCCCCCTCCCGCTCCGGCCCCGCCCCCGCGCCCGCCCCCTCCGCGCCAGTCCCACCCCGCGGCTCCGGCTGGACGCGCCCGGGTTGGCCCGCGGCCTCGGAAACCGAGCAGGAAGCGAAAGGCGTTTCCCGACTGGCGACGCGCGGGCGGGTCCGGCTCCGGCGCCCGCGGGTGACCCCGGGGAGGGAGGCCCGGGGGCGGGGGACGGGCACGCCCGGCTCCCGACTCGCGGCAGCTCGGCGCCCGCGCGGGTCCCCGCCGTGCAGGAGGGGGGGCTGCGGTCGCTCCTGCACCCTCCGACCTGGGCTGCAGGACGCACCTGCGGCAGGTGCCTGCCCGCCCCTCCGGGGCCCCGGCCGCTTGCACCCCAGCAGCGCCCCACTACCTGCACCTGCGGGGGCCGAACAGGTGCGCTGGGTCAGACCCGCCCGGGATAGGGACTTGCGGCCGGGGGTGGGGGTGTCAGCGGGCACCGGCCCCGGGTATCAGCCTCGCTCCCAGGACGCGGACCGGAGGCCTCGGCGTTTAACAAAAAGCATTTATTGTTGATGTGATGACGTCCAGCAGGAGGAAGCAGGGCTGATGACTTTCCGAGGCCGAGGGGTGTCCCCGGAAGCCTTGTCCTTCGGGACACTTCGCCTCCTATTTCAAATGAACCTGAATTAGCGCATCCTCCTAGGGTCTGAGGGGGAGGAGGCAAGCCAGGCGGCTCCGTGTAGTTACCGAGGCCCCCACTCGTGGGCCAACCCCTGTGCCTTCCCGACCCTGAGAGCAGGTGTCTCCCTTAAAAAATAATAATAACAACAGCTCTATTGAGATACGATTGGCACACCTTAATACTCACCTTTTAAAAGTACCTGATCCAGGGGCACCTGGGTGGCTCAGCCGGTTAAGCTGCCTTCTTCCGCTACCCACCGTGTTCAAAGGTTAATCCTTGCTGGTTTAAGGTATCAATGATCTGTACTTCATTTCTTTTTATGACTGATAATATAATAATATTGAGTGCGCACATATATATCCATTTTGATTATTCATCAATTGATAGACATTTGGGTTGTTTCCCACTTTTGTCTGTTGTGAACAATAATGCTACTGTGAACATTGCCATATAAGGTTTTATGTAGACCTCTATTTTCGTTTTCTTGAATCTATACCTGCAGTGGAATTGTTAATTCACATAGTAAGTCTATATTTAACTTTCTGAGCAAATGTCAAAATATTCTTCAAAGCCGCAGCACAATTTTACCACCCTCACCGTATGTGGGTTTCAATTTCTAGACATCTATTGTTCTTTTTTTTTTAATTTTAGCCATCCAAGTGGGTATGAAGTGATACCTCATTATGGCGTAGAGCTGTATGACTATGACTATTACTAATAGCTGTATTAGTCCCTGATGACTGATGATGCTTCATGTACTTATTGGCTCTTTGTCTAGCTTTCTCAGAGAAAAATTAAGCCAAATACTTTGCTCATTTTCAAATTAGGTTATTTGTCTTTATTGTTGAGGGTTTTTAAAAAGATTTTATTTATTTATTTATTTAAGATAGAAAAAGAGGGATCACACAAGAGGGGAGCAGGGGGAGAGGGAGAAGCAGGCTCCCCACTGAGCAGAGACCGATGTGGGGCTCCATCCCAAGACCCCGGGATCATGACCTGAGCTGAAGGCAGACCCTTAACCAATGAACAACCCAGGCGCCCCTGTTGTTAAGTTTTAACTAAGTTTTTATTCATTTCATCATCACACTGCATAATCAAACTGCTCAAAACCAAAAAGAGAAAATCTTAAAAGTGATCAAAGAACAAAGGTACAGCAAAACAGAAATAAAGATGAATATTAGATTTTTCTTTGGAAACAATGCAAGCAGGGATATAGTGGAGATACATTTTTCAAATACTGTAAGAAAAAAGAGAAACCATCAACCAAGAACTCCGTCCCTTTCAAAAAAAAATTTTTTTTTAAAAAATGAAGGTGGAATAAAGACTTTCAGACATACCAAAGCCAAATGCTTTCATCACCAACCAACCTTGTACTTCAAGAAGCATTGAAGTAATTGCTTCATGCAGGCAGACTAAAAATAATAAAGAAATAGGATTTACCCAATATATATAAGAACTCTCAAAATGCAATAAGTAAGTACCCTCTCCTCTCAAAACAAACAAAAAAAATTGGGTGACAGATTTTAAAAGATGTATTTCACCAGAGAACAAATATGGATTGCAAATGGACACAGGAAAAAATGCTGAACGTCACTAGTCGTTATGGACATGCCCACTAAAGCCTCAATGAGATGACATTATACACATACTGGAATTGTTAAAATTAACAACACCGACCGTACTGAGTGTTGATCAGGAGGCAGAGCATTGGGAACTCTCATCTGAGCTACCGGGAATGTTAAACGGCATAACTATTTTGGAAAACGATTTTGCAGTTTCTTAAAAAATTAAACCTGCCGTATGATCCAGCTATTCCCCACTCCTATATGAAGGGAAATGACCGCATACATTCATACAAAGACTTTGCAAATGCATGTTCATAGCAATTTTATTTACAATAGTTAAAATCATTGCAACAACCCAACAGGTGAATGGTTAAGCAAATTACAATGTATCCGTACAAAGGAATATAACTTAGCAGTTTTAAAAAATGAACTACTGATGCCCACAACAACATGGATGGATTTCAGAATGCTTGTACTGAGTGACAGAAGCTGTGTCCAAAAGAAGTACGTGTCGTATGCTTCTATAATGTATAAAATTCTATAAATTGCAACCTAATCCAGAGTGGCAGACAGCAGGGCAGTGGTTGCCTGAGGACTGAGGGTGTGTGGGTAGGATGGGGCAAGGAGGGAGGGCGTAAGAGGAGCCTTCAGGTTGTGGTGGATGTGTTCCTTATCTTGATTATGGTTTTACTAGTGCATCCAGTATCACAACTTATTGACGTGTACATGTCAGATATGGGAAGTTTGTTGTATTCATTATACCTTAATAAAGTTGTAGGATAATTTTTAGAGGATGAAATGAAATTATAATTTGTAGATGTCTGCTTTCCGGTCCTGTGGATTATTTTTTTTTTTCCCAAATCCATTTTAGAAAGCACAGTCCCTGAAATGGATGTGGTCTAAAAGGGAACATAGCCTGGCTTGGTGTAATATGAATTTATATTACAATATAAAAAATATATTATAGTACATATAATATGAAATATATTAATTATAATTATATAATTATCAATTATAATTATATAATTACATAATATAATTATATATTAATATATAATTAATTATATATAATTAACATATTATATATTAAGTATATTAAAATATTAGATATTACATAATTATATTGATGTATAATTATAATTTATAATATAAAATATGTATTATAATATAAAATATATATAAAATAAAAATACATATATAAACTATAATATAAAATCTATAAATAGATGGCTCAGGTGACAGGCTGATGAACTGTGAATCCAAATTTGGACAGGGACAACCATGGTTCAGTCCAAGTCATAAAGAATAAATCAGGCAGCAGTCAGCAGTAGCATAAGTGGGAACATAAATCATTACTTTTTGGAGACCAGTTTGGGAGGAGCCTCAAAAAGCGCCCAACTTTTATCTCAACAGTACTAGGTTTAGGAGGATTTCATTTAGAACATTAAGGATGTGAGCAAATAATCAGGATATTCATAACGGTACAGTATATAATATAAATAATTTCAATTACCCAAATTGTCTACAAGTAAACAGATCACAAGAGATACGGACAATCATACAGTGGAGGTGTACGCGTACCGACGTTGATGATGTGGGAAGATAATTACGTTGAGGAAGGTCGAGAGTAAGAAAGGGCAACAGAGGTCTATGACTAACCTGTGGGAAAATGATTATAGGTTTATATTTCCATCCATGTGTTGGTTTAACCACCCCCCCCCGCCCCCGCCCCGCCCGGAGTTTCCCTGGTACAGTCAAAAGCAGCCTCCTGCTCAGAGAGGAGAGCCCCAGGGAAGAAGGCCAGCCCAGGTGGGTGGCAGTTGCATGAAGCAGAGGGAATTTACGCCCAAGGCTTGTCTCGGGTGCCAGCAAGATAGTGGATCCCG